ATTACCCCTATTCAGAATCTGGGGGCTAGCTTCTCGTAGTAAACAACAAAAGTAACCACCAAAGCTTCCTTTTGTGAAAGAACTTATTATATTGAACAAAAAATTCATATTAAAAGCAGAAGGAAGCATATGGCATATTGAGTCTGGATCCTTTGAACTTCCAGATTATTCCACCTCTCCTTGAATTCTCCTTCACTGAAGTGTGACCCCTTGTTATACTCTAGATCCCAATATGTTTGATTCTGGCAATGGAACTTGGAAGAAGGGACGAGTTTTCCATTATTTAGGTCAATGGAGATCTTTACCTATGAGTCATCCACTCCCAAAGTTTTTTTGTGTGGCTCTGTTATTATGGCTTCTGTAATGAATGGGAATTTGAAGTCTATTACTGGCTGAAACACTAATCGGCTTCGGAAGTACCCAAGTCTGGTACCGGCTTCACCTGTAACTTTGGATGGCATCACAAATAGGACAGAGAAAATGGAAGTGGGAGAGAGTGCTGCAAAGAGCAAAACTAAAAATATTCAACGGGCTTTTCTCAACGGATACTCTTGGGCCTGTCACTTCCCCTCTCAAGACCTCTATTTCCTCCCATAGATTAATGAAATTGGAAAAAGCAATCTTTTAAACTCCTTCGAGGGATAGGAATCACATGTCAATCATTGTATGGATAGAGATTAAAAGTGCTTTAAATAAGCTTCAGTTTGAACCTTAAAGCTTTTCAAAACTTTATTTTTCAAAATAGGCTAAAAAATAGCCCAAGGGGGATTTACTAGTTGACTTTCTGGAAAAAATAACAGTTTAAGAAGCTCTTGAAAAAATTGGAAAGCTGATGGTAGATGAAAATATTTTATCTATGTCAAATGTTAAATTTACTGAATCTATAATGGTACTGTGGTACTGTCAGGAAAGAAGCCCAGTCTTAGAAAATGGCAGGGAGTAGCAAGTTTGCAAAAGAGTTATCTCAGCAACTAAGCAGTTCAGCTTGTTATGACTCTCTGGATGCCAAAAATAGACAATGTGACCCAGTGGTTCAGAGAAAACAGTTTACTACTCACAGCACAGCAAACAGTAGGAGCATCAACACAGGAGTGCTTGTTCCCTTGCCCCCATGTCCCATGGAGTGACACAGTAGACCCTGATCGTCACTATGCACACAGTTGATTGCACCACACCTGACAAGCCCAGAGCTAGTGCTTCACCACCTTTTGTAGCAAGCAGTAAACAAAGCAATCTTCCTCCTGTAAGAGCAAGGAATCTCAAATTGGTCCTACTGTGGTCCTTATGTGGTTTGGCAGTGAAGGGTCTTACTTGACTATGTGGCTATAGAAAGTACTTGGAGTCAGAAGATAGTAAGGCCTTGCAGCTCAGCTCCGTCAGCAAGAATGTACAGGGATGCCTGATGAGCTGCCTCCCACAGCAATGCACCTGTCAGCTCCACTTATTCTTGGCTCAATTCAGTTTTCCTAGGATTATGCCACCCCATCAGCAATTTGGATTAGACATACGGATAGAGGCTAGGACCAAATCTGTCTCGTTTATCTCAATAAATACGTGATTAGGGTTATTGTCCGTAGGATCCCTATCAACAGGATCAGGTCAACCTGCACTTTTGACCTCAGCCATGTACTCCCAGACCACAGACTGCATTGATTAAGTCCCAGAGAGGGCGAACAGGTCTCCCTGCCGATACTCACGTAGCTTCTTTCTCGTGATGTGCTTGGATTGCACCACAATATTGTTATTGATAGCATGGATGCCAACACAACAGGCGTGGTTGGCAACCATACTTACCGGAATGTAGTCAAAGGCCAATCAGTGACTCATTTACAGTCAGGGAGTTTAGCCTGGCCTGTTGATTTCCTATGGCATATTCCACCTCATTGGCTATGGTAGCTAAAGTCAAGGGTGAGTGCCTGGCCTACCTCTGGAAAGTGGACTCCGATACCAGGGAACAATACTCACAGTACTGTATGGCACAGGGATTCATGTATCCTTTGGGTAGCACAGTCTTCTTTATTTGAGGGCCTAGCGAAAGGAATGTGATCCAAGGAGTGGTGTCATTGCCAATAATTGCGGGGGGTCAAAGAGGCACTAAGCCTCCCGTCCCCACGACTAGTAGAGAGGTATCCTGTAGCACTCTCTCTCCCGTGTAACGAACATATAACTGAAGGGGGCAGGTTATTCCAATTCTAGATTTGTTGCTGAACGTGATTTGGATCCCAATTACATTGATCTGGATAATCCATAGGAGCAGGGTCACCAAATAGTTGTGGCCTTGATAGCCACACATGGCATGACCCAAGGGCACTCAGGTATCTGGAGAAGCTTATGAATTGGTATGAGCTTAAATGAAACAAGATTGCCTCTATCTGTGTGTGTTTGTACACGTACAAGGTTTTCACATTTAGGAGCTGCATTAGGCATAGCGCAAGACCAGCCAAACCCACATGAGTTCCTCTGACCTCACAGCACACAGACCGGGGTGATAAACCCCGCAGTAGGTCAGTTCGGCAATCAGAGCTGTTTCGTGGCCAGTGGACCATGTGATTGCTTTGCCAGTCTGCGGGGCTGGAATCTGGAGACAGAGAGAGCATTAATCATTTCCCCCTCCCAGCAACACCAAAGCCTAAGATATTCCTGCCGCAGCTGAAGTGGGGAATGGTGCCAGGAAGACTCCTAGGGATACCCCTCATGGAGGCTGCCTCCTCTTACAGAAATCTGTGGTTCAAAAAGCTCCAGGGCTGGGCTGCTCTTGCAGTGCCTCCAGTGCCGCATGCTGCTTAGGTCCTCAGCCAAATTTGACAGATTATCTGATGAACCTGCAGACAACTAAATGCGTACATAGACAAGGCACACATTGTCTCCAACAGCTAGACAGTGAAATGAAGTGCTGAGCTATGTTTCTTGTAATGGAGAGTCATAGTGCAAATTTCTTTATTGCCTCTGGAAGCCACTTTCGAGTCATAGCCCACCCAAGGTTTTGACAGCCGAGGTGCTTCATTCACCCTCTAAGAGCATAACCTTCCTCACTCCTTCGTCAGCTCTGGGTCTAACAGTTGCTCTGTCTGTTGATTGAAATGCCCCTGGGCTGGCTTCCTTTCCCTCTCACTAAGGGTCTGTAAGTTGGTGTTCACTGTAGGGACATATCGACCTCTGGATGTTCCTGGTTGTGACTTAAGACTGAATGCATTTGTGCTTTCCTCCATGGCGGGGCCTAGGGTGCTCTCCGAGTCCCCTAGTCCACAGGAGAGCAAGCAGCAACCATGGCACCACTTGGGAAGCTGCTTAGATTTTTTTCCCGCACCACTCAGCCTCCATCCATCAACTCAACTCATGTTTAACAACAGGTAGGACAGGGTGGACCATTCACTCCCTGTCTCTGCACCACATGGGCCAGAACATTTGCCACTAGCTCCCAAGGAGTTTCTTCACCTCCTCAAATCTCATCCATGAGCCCTTGTCTTTTCTCTTTCAATAAGTCATCATCCATCTTGACACACTGTTTGTTGTACAGTTTGGGAAGAATCTCATCCTCTTAGAAGATGACAAGAAGTAACGAGACTCCAAAGGAGATGACTGAGCAAGCAAACAGGTTGTCTTGCCACAAGTCCATAGGGGCCCAAAGTAGATTAAAATACTTAGGTTATTATAGCACAGTGAGCTGTAGAAGCTTTAGCTTGGTAGATTCTCCCTGCTCCCAAGTCCCACGGGGTGATGCGATGGGACCAGATGGTGGCTGCACACACAATGGGTTGAGTCACAGTCAAGGAACCCATAGCTAAAATCTCAGTCCCTTTGGCAGCAAGCAATAAACCAACCTCCCAGGAGTAAGCAGTCCACAGTGATCAATGCTGTGGTCACCTTGACCTACTTAATCGCCTAAGTTACCACTGTAGGAACCGTTCAGGGTCAGAGATTGGTTAGCCTTACAGTTTGGCACGATCAGCAAGGATGAGCAGGGGCATCCAGGGCTCCTACTGCCTCTTCCACAGTGATCACATAGTGATCACTCTATTCCCTATTCTTAGGAAATATATATTGAAATATTGAGGGATCAGTTTAGCATCAAATGGTTCAATAAGATAATGTGTGTGTGTGTGTGTGTGTGTGTGTCTTTGTTTCTGTTTGGAAGGAGAAAAAAAGAAGAGAAAGCAAATGGTATAGTGAAAGGGGTACAATCTTAACAGTAGGTGAATCTGGGTAAAGGGTACACATGTGTTCTTTGTACCATTCTAATTCTTACACTTTTCCTGAAGTTCGAAAGTTACCAAAATAAAGTTAAAGGAAAACAATTCTCATCCCTTTACACTTACTATACAAACACCTCCTTTCTTCTCAACAAAAATGTTAAAAACCAGGACACAGCAATTATCTGTTAATTATAAAACTTGTTTCACGTTTATAATCCTCCTCCCTTATTTGAAAATATCAAGCCATAATTTTGCGTGTGAACAAATGTCCCATTTTTGCTCAACAGATACGCTAGCTTTACAGCAGAGGTGGGGACGGGGAAACCTCTGAACTTCAAACCAGTTGCTTCAGAAAAAAGAATCCACTGATTTGGAGAATTTGGTGAAATATAAAATTTCTTTACCTAGAAATAAAGAATGTAAACAGTACTACAAAAAGAGATGTTGCTTTTCTTTTGAAAGTTTGGTCAAATCATGAACAATTTGAAGACAAGGAGGGAAGAGAGTCAAGGACAGAGGGAAACAGAGTTTGGGTTAAAATATATTTTTTCAAGAACCCATCAATAACATCTCTTTCATGACTAGTGTATAATTCCTATTCATTTGTGTGTACAAATGCAATAGCATATTCATAATGACCCAGGAGATTAAATAACGTCTTGATATTTAGGAAAAACTCTGAAAGTTGCAGGTGAAAGTATACATGAAGGTTCTCAATATAATTCTGCCACATAGAAGATGCCCAATAAATGTGCACTGCAACCCTATCTGAAACATTCACTGTCTTTGCTCTTTCTCGACTTTCAGCTAGAAAATCTGGAAGCAGAAACCGCTCCACTACCTTAACTGGGTCTCATGCCATTCAGACCCTCACTGAGCTTAGAAGCCACCATCTATGTGGAAGCAGGTCACTGCAAGAATGTTGGAAAGCTCTGGTTTCCTAGGAAAGTGCCTGCTCTGAGTCATCAAAACTCCTTCCTCTCTGGCCACTCCATTCTGCACATGAGAGGGACAACCAAACTAAATCAAGCACTAGGAAGGAAAGAACCAAACCACACTGAGTTTGCTTGTGTACATAATCACAAGGAAGATGCCCAAAGGGACCGAAACGTGCTGTGGTATGTGCATTGAGGTTACCATCGAAGATGGCCCTTCTGCATGTAATATTGTTTTCAAGCAAACATTTACAGTCTCATCAAAGAAAAACCATTAATTACTAAATTCACTGTAGTAACATGTAAAGTAAACGCTACCTCTGATCAAAGCAACTGTTGTGGAATTCCAAGACTTTCCAGTCTTCTGTAAGAGAATACTTTGCTCTATCTTGACCTTTAATGTTAACCTTAAAATTATCTTCAGTTAAGACATAACTTCCACCTTCATGTCTTGTTTTGTTTTTTTTTTTTAAATAACATCTCTTACCTAGCTCCATTATTGCAAGGGAAGAAATTAACATGAAAGGTAATCTGAAACCCAGTAACGTGTCCACTGCAGAAAGGTTGGTTCTTGTGCACTGTGAGTCCTTCCTGAGAGTCATAATGGGAGATTTTCCACTCTTAGGCTTTCAGTGGTTTTCTCCCCAGTTTTAACTGTGCGGTTTCTTTGCTCCCATCCAAGTGTTCGAAAAGGTAATAGTGGGTCGATGAGCTCATCACTTTATCCCTGCAGGAAGTCAAGCACTAAAATGTACTCTTTATTTCTCAATAATTTCTCCTTACTACATGCTCCCTTTACATCGTATTTTCTTTTTTTAAAACTCTGCTCAGAATACTTATGCCTTTTGAATCAGCAAGATAAAATGACAGATGTTTTTAGTTGATTTTCAGAACAGTTTAAACTTTTTTAAAAAAATATGGATCCAGTCAGCTTAATCTCAAAATAGAAAGATTCAAATGACCGTGGAGAAAAATCGGTGATCTACTTTTCACTCCTCTGTAGTTACCTGGTCATGAAATGTTAACAATGACCCAAGAATATTTTCCTGAATATTATGTTTCTATAATGTCATCACCAATATGTTGGTCTTTTTGATCTTTGCTACATGTCAAGGTTTCCTTTGTAAAATGTCAGTCTTCTAAGTAGTTTCTCTAAGACAATTCGTCTCTTTGGTTTTCTTTGGCATGAAATACAGTTAGAGATTTGGCAATCACCCATTTTATTTGATCTATATAGACAATCAAATTAGATGGCCCATGACCTAAAGCTCTCCACTTTGAACTTTTGTCTGCATTGATTAAATGAATCAAGTACACTGTAGTTTCCTTTGAAGACACAGTAGAAAACAGGGTGCCAGCTTCCCTTATAAGAATATTCCTGAATCTACAATCTGCCAGTAGTCTCAACCTTACAATCTGCATTCATTCTTCAATCTAACAAGGCACAAATATGCACCAGATATACAAGGGCAATGTTTCAGGAAGACAGCTGTTGTGGATTGGAATAAATGAATTTACTATCTCAGATCCTATAGGTTGTAGTCATGTGGATCCAGCCCACATCTCTGTTGGATGAGAAAAAAAAAACAAAACAAAGGATAAGTGTTTTAGTGTTTCCTTCTGATGAAGTCTTATATTTGCCTCTAACAATCACCATTTCTCAACTATAATGTCCCAGAATGGATATGCATTATTTTTAAATTTTTTACATTTCCTGATCAAAATAATTAAAACCAGGACTGTGAAAAGATTTAGAAAGTCAAATAAATGCATTTGTTTATATACATTATATACATATATACACTACTAGAGCTTCCACAAGTAAAAGGGGTGATTCAAACGAAGCACAATAAGGGAGAATGAAATATTTGTACATAAGTCATTGGGGAGGAAAGTTCTTATTTTTAATGGGCCATAATAACATGAGTTTTCTCAAGGGATTACATAGTACAGCTTTCTGCTCATAAGGCTGTTTCTCAATGATCATTATTTCTGCCTAATGACCAGCTCTTAGTTAAGACATTCTAAAGTGAATAATACAGTAGTGTGTTTTTTATATTTTTCATTCAAAATCATTTTTTTATTTTCATGGAAACATTTCTCCTGTTCTTTTTTTTAAAATTTTTATTGGCATATAGTTGATTTATAATGTTGTGTTAGTTTCAGGTGTACAGCAAAGTGAATCAGTTATACATGTACATATAACTACTCCTTTTTATCGTAAATTTGCTAGAACTACATTGCAATTCCGTGGCAAATAGAGAAGTAACAGCCCGGACTCGGTTGGATGAACTAAAGCTTCTTAGAAATCAACATTAAGAAAATGTAAAGTTCTGCTTTGTTCTTTGTTCTTTTATTCTTTTATTTCACCCTTGTCCTTATGCATGGAATTTCTTCCTCATTGGGCATTTCAGTAATGCCGACTCTAGATACCAAATGGAAGTTTTGCTTCTTCACCTGATTTCTTGCTGTGGAATTTCTCATCTCTAGTACGTAGTGGCCTTTCCTCTTTGGTCTCTACCTTCACTGTTATTTTGCTCTGGCATCCTTCTCTCCCTGGAGGGAGGTGAGGCTCAGCTGGAGCAAAAGTGAGTCACCAGGACTTTACTGCCAATACCCCTATTCAGGGGAGGGGATCCTCGGAAGGGGATTTGATCACACGTTTGTTTTAAACTTTTGCTGTAATATTCTGGATCCACCCTAACAATCTGATGATGTCAAATAAAAGAGTTTAGTGGAGAAGCTAAAAGGTTGAGCTTCAAGGTCATCAAGATCCACGTCTGAAAACATATTGTGGCATTTTTTGGCTTTGTGGCTTTGAGCAACATATTTCAGCTCTTTTACCTTCAGCCTTCTCTTAAAAGTAAGGCCTTTGGTAGCACCCTTATGGGGTTATGGTCAGGATCAAGTGAGGTAACGTATATAAAAATCTAGACCTACCATGTAGCAAATGCTCCCTATGTGGAATGAAAATTATAAATGAAAACTATCCATGTAAAAAAAAAAAAGAGAGGGAGTAACTTGGTGAATTCATTGGGAATCACCTCTAATCACCTTTGGCACAAAACCCTGAGAGGGATCTCTTTTAAGAAAACAGGAAGCACCTCAAGCAGAATTTCCTGTGATAGAAGAGCATCCCAACTGTGCCATCAGAAGAACAAGACTCTTAGTTTGGCCACTTGAAATACTTCTCAACGTTGAAATAGACAGTTGGCAGTTTTAAAATAAGGTCATCAAAAAAACAGCTTTGAGTTGGTAAGAGAATATTCATTTCCTTAGATAATATGACATGTTTTGCTAAAACTGATATCCATTCACTTGCAAATTTCATTATTGAAAAAGCACACTTAGCTTATTTAATATTACCCCCCAAAAAAGATGCTAATAAAGTTCTATTTTCAGCGTTATCACAGCGGGCCTTTTATGTCTCAAGATACAGGCAAAAGTTGAAATTCAGAAGCACAGATTCTAAACCTAGTAGAGAAATGTAACTAAGGTACAAAGAAAGTACCTCTGAAAAGATTCTCTCTGACCACATTTATTACAAAGACCCCAAAGCTTTCAGAGTCCTTACTTAAGTCAAGTATATTTTTTTTGAATTTTATTTTATTCAGTTTTTTATACAGCAGGTTCTTGTTAGTCATCAATTTTATACACATCAGTGTACACATGTCAATCCCAATCGCCCAGTTCATCCCACCACGACCCCCACCCACGGCCGCTTTCCCCCCTTGGTGTCCATACGTTTGCTCTCTACATCTGTATCTCAATTTCTGCCCTGCAAACCTGTTCATCTGTACCATTTTTCTAGGTTCCACATATATGCATTAATATACGATGTTTGTTTTTCTCTTTCTGACTTACTTCACTCAGTATGACAGTCTCTAGATCCATCCACGTCTCTACAAATGACCCAATTTTGTTCTTTTTTATGGCTGAGTAATATTCCATTGTATATATGTGCCACATCTTCTTTATCCATTCATCTGTCGATGGGCATTTAGGTTGCTTCCATGACCTGGCTATTGTAAATAGAGCTGCAATGAACACTGGGGTGCATGTGTCTTTTTGAATTATGGTTTTCTCAGGGTATATGCCCAGTAGTGGGATTGATGGATCATACAGTAATTCTATTTTTAGTTTTTGAAGGAACCTCCCTACTGTTCTCCATAGTGGCTGTATCAATTTACATTCCCACCAACAGTGCAAGAGGGTTCCCTTTTCTCCACACCCTCTCCAGCATTTGTTGTTTGTAGATTTTCTGATGATGCCCATTCTAACTGGTGTGAGGTGATACCTCATTGTAGATTTGATTTGCATTTCTGTAATAATTAGTGATGTTGAGCAGCTTTTCATGTGCTTTTTGGCCATCTGTATGTCTTCCTTGGAAAAATATCTATTTAGGTCTTCTGTCCATTTTTTGATTGGACTGTTTGTTTTTTCAATATTGAGCTACATGAGCTGTTTATATATCTTGGAGATTAATCCTTTGTCCGTTGAATCGTTTGCAAATATTTTCTCCCATTCTGAGGGTTTCCTTTTTGCCTTGTTTATGGTTTCCTTTGCTGTGCAAAAGCTTTGAAGTTCATTAGGTCCCATTTGTTTATTTTTATTTCCATTACTCTAGGAGGTGGGTCAAAAAAGATCTTGCTGTGATTTATGTCAAAGAGTGTTTTTCCTATGTTTTCCTCTAAGAGTTTTATAATGTCCAGTCTTACATTTAGTTCTCTAATCCATTTTGAGTTTATTTTTGTGTATGGTGTTAGGGAGTGTTCTAATTTCATTCTTTTACATGTAGCTGTCCAGTTTCCCAGCACCACTTATTGAAGAGACTGTCTTTTCTCCATCCTATATCCTTGCCTCGTTTGTCATAGATTAGTTGACCATAGATGGGTGTGTTTAACTCTGGGCTTTCTATCCCATTCCATTCATCTATATTTCTGTTTTTGTGCCACTACCATATTGTCTTGATTACTGTAGCTTTGTAGTATAGTCTGATGTCAGGGAGTCTAATTCCTCTAGCTCTGTTTTTTTCCTTCAAGGCTGCTCTGGCTATTCGGGGTCTTTTGTGTCTCCATACAAATTTTAAGATTTTTTGTTCTAGTTCTGTAAAGAATGCATTGGTAATTTGATAGGAATTGCATTGAATCTGTAGATTGCTTTGGGTAGTATAGTCATTTTCACAATATTGATTCTTCCAATCCAAGAACATGGTATATCTCTCCATCTGTTGGTATCATCTTTAATTTCTTTCATCAGTGTCTTATAGTTTTCTGCATACAGGTCTTTTGTCTCCCTAGGTAGGTTTATTCCTAGGTATTTTATTCTTTTTGTTGCAATGGTAAATGGGA